GAAGGATTTAGAACTAACACACACACAAACACAAACTCAGTGTATGAAGTTTCTGAAAGATATTTGGAGTTCTGGGCACTTATGAGGTTGAGGTCTTGAAGACTCCCTCATACTGACTTTCAAAGACTATTTCTAGGGGCTGTTGCCAAATAACGGGACATTATGTGGGTGATCAGACCCACCTCATGGGAGGCCTGAGGTGCTCCATGCTCTGAAACCCAATTATAAACTGCACCTGGTACCCTTGCAGGAATACTGAGTTCCACAAGTGTTCCCGAATCTCCTTGAACATCAGAATCATCGACAGGAGCTTTGCAAACATGGAGATTTTCAGGCCTCATCTATACACTTTAATTTTGTATCTTATGGTGGACAGCCCAGACAACTGTACATTTAATAAGCCCTGCCAAGTGAGAATGTCTGGTCAAATAGACAGTGTCTTGAAATATGACAGAGAAGGTCAGGTTCTCTTTGACTCTGCCCCATTTCAACTCCAACATTAGAAAGAAACCTGCAGACCACGCAGGATTCTTTTGGGAATAATTACAGACTGTACCTAGATATAGGTTTCCCAGGTGGTGCAGTGGTCAAAAATCTGCCTGCCAAGGCAGGAGACACCAGAGATGCAGATTCAGTCTTTGTGCCGGGAAGACCCCCTGGAGTAGGAAATGTCAACCAACTCCAGTATTGCCTGGAAAATTCTATGGACAGAGGAGCTTGGCAGGCTACAGTCTATGGGGTCACAAAGAGTTGGACTGAGCACACAGCAGCAGCAGCAGCTAGATATATGACATTAGCATTGTCTAACAATCAACATTAGCAACAAGGCTCTTAGCCAAATGGAAATTTCAACTTGAAAATCAAGATTTTAGAATAAAATAATTAACTATGTATTGCTTTGGAATTTCTTTTTGGCCAAGCATGCAAGATCTTAGTTCCTCAAGCAGGCATCAAACCTGTGTCTCTTGCAGTGAAAGCATGGAAGCTTAACCACTAGACCACCAGGGAAGTCCCTGGAATTATTACTACTAGCAATAAGTCTCCAGTGATAGCTTATACTAAAAACTCCATCACCTGTGCTCAAACAGAACAGGCATTACTATACTTAGTCATGTGGCACAATGTCAAACGCTGTTTCTACACATGTTGAAAACGATGACAAGCTGAAAAGACAATCCTCATTCCATTTTCCAATCAACAACACCAGAAGAGGAGCTTTTTAATGTCCGGTGGAAACGTCTGCTTCAGCTGTAAGAGGGATGCTGGGCCCCCAGTGCTGTGCGGCTTTCCATCTCACATTATGCAGTTTGCAGCCCACAGACAAGGTGACCAACTGTCCTGGACTGCCCAGAACTGAGGATCCCCCAGCACCGGGACTTTCAGTGCTAAAACCGGGGCAGCCGGTGACCCTCTGCACAGTCCTGGAGCTGCCCTGAAGCTGGCAACCACTCTATCACTTTTTTCTAAACATCGTTACCTCCCTCAGATCTGTCCCCATCCTGCCCATCTCGAGCTCCAGCTTGAGCACCTTTCTCCTCCTGAAGTAAACGCACTGAGCCAACTGCTCACAGACCCTGCAAATCCATGTGGTCTGTAAGCTTCTTCCTGACGATGAAACTAAGTCAAAGAGAAGCTAAGAGAACCTGACCTTTTCACTCTCATAATTTAAGATACTGTCCACTTAAATAGTGGCTTCCAGTACTTGAAAATGCTAATGAAATATAAAGACTCTAGGACTTGGAACCTTAGAGTGTCTAGAGATGAAGACTGAGAAACCCCAGGTATAAAAGCTTCCTGGTAACTGTGACGTGCGGGAAGGTTCCCTAACACACTCTAGAACACAGCGCCCCTTCAGAGTGTCATAAAATCTGCTCTTGCTTCAAGTGCAGTTTGTAGTTGCATTTCTAGAACAGGGAGGAACACAGATATCTTGCTAGATGAGATGAATCTTTGTATTCTGTAAATTCAAGTTAAAACTCAATATTTTGATTTAAGGTCAAAGACATAAAGAATACAAAATTTTGCTCAGACCATCATTTCAGATGCCCTCCGTAAATGTTAAACAACTTTAGGGAATTGTCTGGAGGTCCATGGATTAGGACTCCACGCTCTCACTACTGAGGGCCCAGGCAACCCCTGGTCAGGGAAATACAATCCCACAAGCCACACGGTGCAGCCAAAAAAAAAAAAATTAACTTTGATGTTTCAAATAAATAAACAACTTAAGTCATGCTTTAAATCAAATTTCAAGTAAGACTGAAACCAACATAAATCACAAAGATTTATATTTGTGAATGCTTGCTTTGAATGGTTAATTAGTTGCCATCCAGATATTTCTATAAAAATCACTAGCTGGATTTTGTCCTTGTTATACCAAATATTAACATCAACTATTACTAATTCAACATTTACAGACATCTAAGGTCCAGGGCTATATCCTATACTTTAAGAGAAAAATATTATTTTAAGTTACCATAATCTTCTCTAGACTTATGGCATCTGTGCTCATCTATGCTATCACACTATCATCGGGGCTTTATGCATGCACATAACTACAGTTTCCAGGAGTTCAGAGATCACGCCAGAAACCCAGTCATAGGCCCGGAGTGAAGAACTGCTGATCTAATATGAACATAAATTTCTCCCTTCTGAGTGACACGTGGACTAGAACATGTATAGCCTTCCTTTAAGAGTGTGTCTTAGAAGACAGTGAGACCAAACCACCCCATAAATTGAACTGTGAAAGCCTCTTCGAAATGCTCATCACTTTGGCAACATTCTTACCACATGAAGAGACTCCTTACATCCCTGAAAACATCTAGTATGCGATTTCTAGATTGTGTCAAAGAGATTTTTAAAAAAGAAAATTAGAGGAAGCATGTGTCAAGGCCCAATACAGTGGCTGGGACTTCACTTTCCCTGCATCGACCCCCATGCAGTTGATTTAGCTAAATGAGACTCCTTATTCATAAGCTCTGCAAAGGCCAAAAGCATCAAGATGGGTTTTATCTTTGCAAACTTGCAGGAACTGTCCCTGCCCAGTGTGTGTGTATGCACACACAAGTGTGCCCACACAGACACACCAACACACAGAGTGGAAACTTCTCTGTTTCATAAACTCTCTTGGAAGTACTGGGATATCTCAGATTTACCTACCCAACATCCAGCCCACAAGGCTCCTCTGTAAGGAAGCTTCTGCCCATTCCTGTTATTTGACACCTAAGACGGAACATGTTGATGGCTCCTTTATATGGGCGATCTCCACATAAATGCAGTGGTGGTGGTGGTTTAGTCATTAAGTCATTTCTGACTCTTGGGACCCCATGGACTATAGCCCGCCATTATAATCCTCTGTCCATGGGATTTTCCAGGCAAGAATACTGGGGTAGGTTGCCATTTCTTACTCCAGGGGAATCTTCCCGACCTAGGGATTGAACCCAGGTCTCCTGCACTGCAGGTAGATTCTTTACCGACTGAGCCACCAAGGTACATATCTTTATTTTATAAAGAATGTATTAATAAGTTGGTTCAAAATCCGGTCCATCAAGAGTGAGAAAATATAAAACTAATCCCAACCTTTGGAAAAAATAAAATACATTTACACACAAAAGTCATGATAAAATATTATATATATATACACACACACACATACACACATCCAACATGCAACAAATATTATATTGAATGGTCCTTATCAGATACTTGTGAACATCAGATAATTCAAAAATTAACTTGTACTTGGCTTGAGACTTCTCTCTGTGTCTCTGTGTTGCTTGTTTACAGAGAGTGGAATAGGGGGTTGGTGGAAGAAGGGCATTGTCTAATCATTTGACTCAAATCCCTAATTGGCTCAGCACTGGCTCTTGACCAATTTTACTTGCATCTCATCCAAACACAATGGCCAACAAAGCCGAGGAGCTCACCACGTAACAAGACAACCAACTGGCCACCGACATACATAGGGAAATAATTTATCACTTACAAGTAGGGTCACAGTAAGCCTCAGTGTGCTTACTATGAATAGTACTATTTCACAGGTTTAAGGGTTTAAATTAATAACTATGAAGTTTACAACAGTGCCTGGGCATAGAAAGTCTTCGACAATAATACTGGTTACTACTAATAGCTATTATTAGCCACTAATACATATTTAAACACTGAAGATGACTGTTTTGCCTACTTAGACCACGTGAGTCTGATTTAAACAGTAAGGTCTTCAATCCACTATTGCTAATGGTACTGAAATACATTACCTTTGTAAATCTTTTCCTTCAGTTCCTAGAGATAGGATCCATGAAGCAAGCTCACCTAAACCTATTTCTATCATCCAAGCAGAAATTAGTCTGCAAACCTCTGACCCACTGGTGTTAGAAAAGATATTCTGTGATCTCATTTCTCCTCAAGTTAATTTACTTTTTTTTCCTACTGAAGTCTTCCTGGGAGCATCTGTTCACCTTCTGCTTGCTAGCCAACCTAATATCTGTGAGATTAAAACCAGAGAAACTAACAGACAAATGAGACCCAAGTTTGAGACTTTCCCAAACAAAAATTACTGCTAAAAAAAAAAAAATGAGACAGAACAAGACACTATAGGATTAGAAGAAGCCACATCACTCACCTCCACATTCCCAGGGTTTATGGATCACCTAACAAGCAATGTTAAAACTCCCCTAACTCCTCAAAAATAGTGAGAGTCTCAACACAGCCCAGATGATCTAAATCCAGTGATATAAACAAGCCACATGTGTATCACAGGACTCCAAATAGGAAAATGAAGACCACTTATGATGGCTGCCTTTTCACCTGACACCATCTCTGGGGGCTCTGGTCCCCAGCTAGAGAAAAAGATCTGGATTCCAGCACGTCTTAACTCCCCCTGCTCCCTGTCAGCTCCCCAGTGCACCAGGCAGTGTTTCCCACAGAAGCCAGGGTCAGGGGAAGCAGCAAGGGGTGAAACTATCCTGAGAGCAGAGATGAGGACCCCGAGCCCAGCCTCTTACCTGTGGCCCCTGCCCCTTCAGCAGGTACACTCTGGGAGGACACTGGGGCTGGGTCCTTGACTCCGTGCACCTGCGCAGCTTCTTCCTGGTGTGTCAAAAAGGCAGAGCACAGATCAGTTTCCACGGCTTGGAGCTTCAGCAAGGAATTCTGCCAGCAAAAGCAGAACATCGGGCTGGCTCAGTTAAGATGCTAACGCAATGCTGGGTCTGCGGCTTCCTTCCCCAGCACCCGGCCAGAAGGGGGTCTCAGGCAGAACTGGCTGTGCCAGAAGCAGAGGCGCATTACTCCACATGCAGTCTCAGTTTCTGTTTTATATAAATGTAACGTATATTGATTATCTGTGACACATGGGACCGGTGATTTCGTCAGCAAGAGACGCTGCACCCAGAGGGCCAATCTGAGAAGGTATCTGCTTCTGGGGTGCCTGAGCCTTTACGCTTTCCAAGTGTTTCATTCACCGTGCTGACATCAAGAGCAGATGACAATAGCCCCTCCCCAGCTACCATTCATAAAAGCCAGCATCCCTCCTCTGCAAAGCCCGCAGCAGCCCGCAGTGCACAAAGAGTTACTGCCGCAGAGGCCGCCTGGCAGCTGGGAGGTGCTTCGGGGCTCCCTTTTCTGCATCTGCACGTGGGCTGTGTGCCTGTGTCTGGGGGGGTGTCTGTGTGTGCGAGTGTACGTGTGTCTTCTCAAGTTACTTTTCTCACATGGAATGGCTACAGCCGCCTGCTGTCAGAACAGAGGGCAGGAATGGAGGGAGATGATGACCTTGGTCCCTTAGTCTGACCCCATTGCTGAGGGAGAAGTGATTCATCATTTATAACTCCCAGCCAACCTCCCCCATCCCCAGCTTCATTTCTCATTTTAAATTCTTCCCGTGTTTTAATAAGAGCAAAGTCATACAGACTGACGCACGTATCCTGCCATGATGCAGATGCCGGGCAAACTCGGACCCCAGCAGGTGATAGTGAGTCACGCCGAGTCCCTGGCTGGGCCCTCTTCCCTGCAACGGCCTCAGAGCTCCTCCACCGACCAGGGCCTTCCACCCACAGGTTTCTGGCAAAGGACGGTGGGGGGCAGGGGGTGCTACCTGAAGTAGAGCCACAGGTCACCCCCCCATTATGACCCAACACACACACATACACATACACACACATATACACACATGCTCCTACTTACACCCTGTCTCCATATAACTTAGTCCCCACACACCCTCATAATCAACTGCCACTTCCTACTCCAGACACACACCCCGGTCCTATATATACCCCTGCACTCTATTATACACATACCGCAGCTCCCTACCCTATACACACCTTCACCCCCCTCCTCCACACCCTCATGCCCAAGTCTCTACCTTCACACTCTACTCCACACATGCTTTACAACCAAATACCCACCTCCACCCATACACATGCTCATCTCTCCTCCCCCAGTCCTTTTATCCCCATTCCCCCAACACCAACACCCTACTTTATATACACCCCTACATACACCCTCATCCTCAATTCCCACTCACATATCCTGTTCCCACCCCTCATCCCCAGACACCCTGATTCCTTACCCCACATAAATGCCAACCCCCCACACCTCCTCACACCCCAGCCCCTTTCTGCACACATACTCTCATCCTTCTGTTGATGTGAGTAAATACGAACCCGCAGCTGTGTTTTAAAAAGCTGCTCACTGAGGGACTTCCCTGGTGGTCCAGTGGCTGAGACTCCTCGTTCCCAATGCAGGGGGCCCAGGTTCAATACCTGGTCTGAGAGCGAGATCCCGCATGCCACAACTAAACATCTCAACCTGCCACAAAGAAGATGGAAGATCCCTTATGCAGCAACTAAGACCCAGTGCAGCCAAAGAAATAAGTGTTTTTTCAAAAGCTTCTCATGGAGGAATGTCTTAAATCCCTAGTCTTTTGGCTAATTCGAAAGTGGCAGAACTTCTTTCAAACAGGCTCAGGACCTTTCCTCTGCTCAGCTCAGAGATGGAGTAAGACCTGATACAAACCTCCCCCACGCCCAGGGGCTGACGGCCAAGGGCCCACAGCTCAGATGAAGCATCTGTCTGATGCCAGCCCATTTTTTACAGCTTCTTCTTCCTCCCTGGGGTGTTTTCCCAGCAGTTACATGTGGAAACAAGGGCTCAAGGTTATTAATAGGAGGTACAGAAGGAGCAAGGGTACCAGGTTTCTGGAAAGTTTTAGTAATCAAGCATTAGGGAGGCAAAAGTGCATGATTCCAGTCTAGCTTTCTACTGAAGGACCTTGGAAATTGGAGTGACCTCTCATAAGGAGCAAACTACTCTGAAAATTAACAAATCTTACCTTCCCTGTAGCTCAGACAGTAGAGAATCTGCCTGCAATGCAGGGGACCCAGGTTCAATTCCTGGGTCGGGAAGATCCTCTGGAGAAGGGAATGGCAATCCACTCCAGTATTCTTACCTGGATAATCCCATGGACAGAGGAGCCTGGTGGGCCACAGTCTATGGGGTCGCAAAGAGCTGGACACGACTGAGCGACTAACAATACTAGTACTACTGCCACCAAGCTGTGCCATCTGTCTGCAACAGCAAACAGAATGGTGGTTCCACAAACAGGTATCCCTAAAAACAGGTAATTCTACAAACAGAAATACTGTGTGAGCCAGTCAGCCCACTGCTGGGTATACATCCCCAAAATATTGAAAGCAGAGACTCTTAACAGCTATTTGTACATCCACATTCATAGCAACATTATTCATAATAACCAAGAAATATATTATGGACTGAACTGTCTCCCCCAAATTCATATACTGAAGCCCTAACCTCCAATGTGACTACATTTGGAGATGAGGCCTTCAAGAGGCAATTGAGGTGAAATAAGGTCATAAGGGTGAGGCTGACCAGTGCCCTTAGAACAATAGAGAGAGAGGCCCAGGGATGCACGGTCACAGACAAAAGGCCATGTGAGGACACAGAGAGAAGGCAGCTGTCTGCAACCCATGGAGGAGGCTTCAGGAGAAACCAATTTTGCTGACACATTCACCTTGGACTTCCCACCTCCAGAACTGTGACAAATGTTTTGGCCACTGAGTCTGTGGCATCTTATATTAAAATTGTAGCCCTAATAGAGTTTTAGCAGATTAATACAAGGTGGAAACAACCCAAGGTGCCCATCAGCAGATGAACTGATAAATGAAATGTGATATATACAATACACACAATGAAATATTATTTAGCCTTAAAGAGGAAGAAAGTTTTGACACACGCCACAACATGAATGAACCTTGAGAACATTATACTGAGTGAAATGAGCCAGTCAAAAAGGACACAGATTCTAGGCAGTAAAATCCACAGAGCTGGAAAGCAGAATGGTGGCTGCCATGGGGCTGGTGGGGAAGGAAAGGAGGTTTGTGTTTAATGGGTACGGAGATGAAGGCTGGGAAGATAAATCAAGTTCTGGAGATGGATGGTGGTGATGGCTGCCCCAAAACATGAATGTGCTTAATGCCACTGAATTGTATACTTAAAATGGCTAAGTTGTGAAATTTTACATTGTCTATTTTACCACGGTTTTAAAAAGCAAAAAGAAAAACAGTCCTCTACATTTAGCGGGAGGATGTGGGACCAGCCACCTCTCGTCAACTCTATGTGTTCTTACAGATTCTACAAAGCAGATGAGGACACTGCCTTCACACAGAACCAGGGGCTCTGTCTGCTACATACTGTGGGGCTGACTTTGGACAAGAATCTTGGCTATTCTAAGCTTTAATTTCCTCATGCATAATAAGAAGCAGTGATGACAATGACAATGGCACCTGCTTCAAGGATGAAATGAGGAAGGCACAGAGTGAGTTTTGCACAGTGCCAGCACACAGCAAATACTCAAGCCCTGGCCACTGTGGTTACTATACGTGTGTCTCCAAACCCCAGAGAGCACTGGTGGTGGGGGGCCAGACCCCACTGAAGCTCTGAGTCCTGACTCATCACTCCACCTCCCAGGCCTCACTCTGTGATTCTGCCCAGGAAGTACTTGAGACCAGGTGACTTGTAAGTTCCCTTCCAACTTTCCAGGACAGAGAAACATCATGCTCATGTACTGAGGCTGAGGCACGGAAGCTGGCAGTGTGTGTGCTTGGACGGTGCTTGTGGAACCAAACCAAGTATTCACACAACACAAACAAAGAGTGAAGAATCTCACTGCAGAGAGGTTTGTCAGGTCACATTCAGAGGCCTCTCCAGTCTCCCAGAAAGTGAGTAATGCTGAGATCCAGTTACAGCTGGAAGCAGTCATGGGTGGTTCCCAACCATCTTCCCTGCCCTCCGCCTCCCTCACTAGTACTGAGGCCCAACAGAGATGCCGAGCATCAGAGGAGATCTATTTGCACAGCTGGTTTGTTCCTCTCTCAGACACCAGACAGGAGGAAATTTAATGGGACAGGGAAGAAGAGAGTGCCCAATGGAACGGGAGAGAGAAGAAGAAGGTCTCGTGGGACAAGAAGACATCCAAGGAGAAGGGAAAATGTGAACTGCTGGAATTGAGGACCAGGGGGCGGACTGCAAGAAACTGCATGCCAACAGTCATCAGCTATGCCCCGTCCTAGCCCACAATGACCCCTAACCTGAGGACTGCCTGCTACTGTGCCTGTTTCTCAGCACAGGAAGAGTGTGGGGACTTAGACGCCCCACATGGGACAGCCCCCGATGACCAGAGAATCCAGACAGGAAAGGCTTTACCCATGAACGATCTGTGCCACTGTCACATATGTGTCTCTCCACGGGGAGAAAGGAGGCATGCAATTCCATCAGGGCTGAGCCCGACAGAGCTGCCTCTGAGAAGCTCCCACTGCATACGCGGGGGTCACACCACCCACAGCTGCACCAGCACATGTGCAGCTCCCAAGCTCTGGCAGCTCTCAATGGACAAAGAGCTGCGCTGGGCTCCAGAGCCTGAGGCTGATGTCAGCCCCTTCCTCATGGGGCCCCAGTCTAGTGTAGAGATGGCTAACACACAAATGGACAAATAAAACAATGATGCCAGTTATTACTGTCATAGTTATGGTGATGGGGGGAGAGAAACCACAGGCCAGGCCTGGGGACAGAGT